TCTCCCAGCTGAAGGAGCATTTTTATCCTTAAAATCAGATTATTTGATATTATGCTCTTGAAAGAGGAGACTTTTTCCTTATTTTAAATGTATATTTTCTTTTTCCATTTGCAAAGTATCTCACTTACCTGCTCAGTTCAAGAAAAAATGCACTTATTTGACTTAGATTTCAGTTTTTGCTTGAAATTAAGATGTTTAAAGTGTTTCCCTTTTATTATCAATCCGGACTTTTCTGGTGTCTAACGTGTTTTTTAAGGAAGTAGCTCAGTTCAGATCAGACTTCTCAGGATAAAGATGGATTTAGCGGCTGGATGTTCCATCCGTTAATCCGCTCTCTGCTCCTCTCACCTCCCAGAATCCTTCCTGTCTCCCTTCCTGCTCCTGATGTTTAGGATTTCTCTGCTGATTAAAGTCCCGCCTTCATGAAAGGATCCTCTCACCTCGTCCAGTTTAGAATCCGTTTCCACAGGCCGGAAAAACATGTTTGAACTTTTTAATTTCTAAATGAAATGTGACTGTTTAATGTAATAAAAGTGATCAAAAAGAATAATTCAGCCCAGCTCTGTGCCGCCGTCTCTGCTGATAATCTGGATTATTTCATTACATGCTTCAGATGTCGGTCATTAACCTCGACGGGCTCGGGTGCAATTAACTGGCCGCAGTCCTGCAGCTTTATATCAACACTGTGACTGTTTCCAATTACAGCCGCATCTCCAAATGAGATGAAGCGCCTCAGTTTGGCTGATTTATAGCCGATATATTAGCAGCATTAATTAGAGGCCGTGCAGCTGCGGCGTGTGTTGGGAGGAGATGAATGGTGCAGCCGCCGCTTCCTCTCTGAGGGCCGCGTGGACAGCTGTGTGTGCGTCTAATGCCTGTTGCATTGTGGGAGTCCATTATGCTGTCGCCTGCTGAATGGCTCCCATTGACTCAGCCTTGACATTATAAGCTGTCCGCTAATCTCTTCACTCCATATATTAGCGATGCTCAGCCACTCTGCGGGCTTTCTTCTTCAACGTCTCAATCCGTCGGTAAATCATCGTGTGCAAAGAAAAGCTTTATTCTGTCCTGCACATCTGACAGCAGCGCTGATGAAGACGTGTGGAAGGAAATGCAGCTCTGCTTTATGATAAAAATATTAATTTCTTGCCAAATCCAGTAATTCACAGTAAGGCAAACCCAGGAAGACGCTTTTTTCTGGAGTTTTCTTTCTGCTTCAATCCTAAGATCAGCAGCACTGTTGGGTAAGGTGGAGGTTCTGTGGTACTGGGGGACGGGGCCTTTTAAAGAAAATCATCTGTTTTTTGTTCTGATAAACTATATATACACTCACCGGCCACTTTATTAGGTACTCCATGCTAGTAACGGGTTGGACCCCCTTTTGCCTTCAGAACTGCCTCAATTCTTGGTGGCATAGATTCAACAAGGTGCTGGAAGCATTCCTCAGGGAGTTTGGTCCATATTTACATGATGGCATCACACAGTTGCCGCAGATTTGTCGGCTGCACATCCATGATGCGAATCTCCCGTTCCACCACATCCCAAAGATGCTCTATTGGATTGAGATCTGGTGACTGTGGAGGCCATTTGAGTACAGTGAACTCATTGTCATGTTCAAGAAACCAGTCTGAGATGATTCCAGCTTTATGACATGGCGCATTATCCTGCTGAAAGTAGCCATCAGAAGTTGGGTACATTGTGGTCATAAAGGGATGGACATGGTCAGCAACAATACTCAGGTAGGCTGTGGCGTTGCAACGATGCTCAATTGGTACCAAGGGGCCCAAAGAGTGCCAAGAAAATGTTCCCCACACCATGACACCACCACCACCAGCCTGAACCGTTGATACAAGGCAGGATGGATCCATGCTTTCATGTTGTAGACGCCAAATTCTGACCCTACCATCCGAATGTCGCAGCAGAAATCGAGACTCATCAGACCAGGCAACGTTTTTCCAGTCTTCTATTGTCCAATTTCCATGAGCTTGTGCAAATTGTAGCCTCAGTTTCCTGTTCTTAGCTGAAAGGAGTGGGACCCGGTGTGGTCTTCTGCTGCTGTAGCCCATCTGCCTCAAAGTTCCACGTACTGTGCGTTCAGAGATGCTCTTCTGCCCACCTTGGTTGTAACGGGTGGTTATTTGAGTCACTGTTGCCCTTCTATCAGCTCGAACCAGTCTGGCCATTCTCCTCTGACCTCTGGCATCAACAAGGCATTTCCGCCCACAGAACTGCCGCTCACTGGATGTTTTTTCTTTTTCGGACCATTCTCTGTAAACCCTAGAGATGGTTGTGCGTGAAAATCCCAGTAGATCAGCAGTTTCTGAAATACTCAGACCAGCCCTTCTGGCACCAACAATCATGCCACGTTCAAAGTCACTCAAATCACCTTTCTTCCCCATACTGATGCTCGCTTTGAACTGCAGGAGATTGTCTTGACCATGTCTACATGCCTAAATGCACTGAGTTGCCGCCATGTGATTGGCTGCTTAGAAATTAAGTGTTAACGAGCAGTTGGACAGGTGTACCTAATAAAGTGGCCGGTGAGTGTAGATATATGGAGCGACAGTGGCGCCGGATGTAGGAGTTTGCCCTGAAATCGAAGGATTGACGGTTCTTTCAGTGTCGTTGTGCCCTTGGGCAAGACACTTCACCTGCATTGTCTACTGATGGTGGTCAGAGGGCCCGGTGGCGCCAGTGTACGGCGGTGGCTACAATGTAGCTTTCCACCATCAGTGTGTGAGTGTGTGCGTGAATGGGTGAATGTCTGAATGTAGCGTAAAGCGCTTTGGTAAAACTCTCCTGACTTGAAAAAAAGTGCTATATAAGTACAGGCCATTTACCATATAGATGTCTAATGCTACGTTCTGACCGCGAGCAGCAGAAGCAGCTGGTTTACATGCAAAGTCAATGTTTGACGAGCATCTTGGCGCAGCAAAAGGTCGCATCAACCAATGAGAGAAGCTGATCTGGGAGCTGGCAGGGAGTCAGACGCAGCACTGCTGATGCAGAGCGCTATGATCACTCCTCTGAAACAGTTTAACGCCTAAATTAACTTCAAATGTAGAAACCTGCCGGCAGAATATGTTGGCTTTTATTATCCTGCTGCCTGCAGTTTGTAGCACAGACCTGAAAAACGCTAACATCTACTTCCAGCCGCCACCAACAGGAGGGGAAAACCCTGGAGAGGCGAGCGGACAATAATCAGATTTTACAAAACAATCAGAATTGAGAATTAAGGCGTGAACTGTGAGGGTCTAAGATGCTCAGACTTTAAGAACAAACCCTGAAGATAAAAGACTGATTAACACATTAACACCTGGCAGCTGAGGCCGGTTCTGATAGCAAACGTTCACTTCTTCCTCGTCTGTTTTAAATGTGGTGCGCTGCTCCTCACCTATATGCTAACAGCTGCCAACCAGCTAGCTAACAGCTGTTTCTTCATGCAACATCTCACTCTTTCTACGGTAATAACAGTCTACGGGCAACATTGACCCCCCAATTGATAAAATGGTGAAATCGGGGACATTTCTGGGGACAGTTTTAGCCGGCGACAGGCGGTCCAAAACAGGGACTGTCTCCGGAACCAGTGTTGCCAACTCCTCAGTAAGGAAAATAGCTATTGGCTGTGCTAAAAGTCGCTAAATGACGTCATCACCTAATTTGCATAATCTGCCACAGGAAGTGATGTGCATGTTATTGATGCTGTGGGAGAAATAATGTCGTTACAGAAAGACAAAAAGTGAGTAAAACACTATATAATAGTGTTTTTACTCACTTTACTAAACAATATATAGAGCTACTTATTTATTTAAGATAAAATATTTCAAATTCAGTTATTCATTTTAGACCAAATAACATTTTACATTTACATCCCGCTCGCTCCCGCCTTGAATGTAAGTCAGGGCGGATCGGCACTGCGTGATCAATTTGCGCCGTCAATCCCGGCGCATGCGCGCTTCATTTGCAGTCTGGACGCTGAGGGTAAACATCCTGCGGCTCTGACTGCAGCGCTGAGAGGGACTCCTGCGGGAGAACGGGGTTGGGATGGGGGAGGCGCCCCACAGCAGCGGCCGCCGCTGGAGGACAAGAGTAGGAACGATACATGCTTTCACGTAAGAGTCTCCAAAAGCCGCCATTGACCCCGTAAAAAGTCGCCAGATTTGTCGCTAGTCGCTTTTTTGAAAAATAGTCGCTGGAGGGGTCTGAAAAGTTGCTAAATATAGCGACAAAGTCGCAGAGTTGGCAACACTGACTGCGACATCTGGTCACCGTACTGTTATATTAGTATAAGAGATACAATAAAACAACACTTAGATGCTAACGCTGAAGTATAAGTAGTATTATTTAATCTGACGTGTGGTAGCTGAAGATTAAAATATGGGCTTTCTGTGTGGAAGTGAATCTAGTCTAAAGGCTGATTTATGCTTAGAAACCAGAACGCAGATATGCCCCGCCCCCTTCTGCAGACACTCTGCTGTACTTCTCCAAATTGTAGGTGACCGAACACAGGAGGCCTCTGATTGGTCAAATCTACTTCCGCTCTACTCTATGCGTATTTCCTGTTTGGTTCCTTACCGGCTTGTTTTGTTTGTCTGGCCGCCATTTTGAAAATCGATTGGTGAAGATGGAGCAGCTAGCAGAGCGAGGTGCGCGAGAACGCTGGGAGCCTTTTCCACCTGGATCCCCGCTCTTTTTGGCCCTCATGTCCCTCCGTTGTCGGATAAACTTGCCCCCACTTCCTCACCGCCTCGGTCGTATCTAGACCCAAAGCTAGTTCCTGATTGGCCCTCTGGTGTTGTGGCGTGGAATAACATAGCGCAGACCACGCTTCAATATTGGGCATATATCAAAAATATCTGCGACACGCTGCTGCAGCCCTTTACCAATAAGACCAATATCTTTCAAATTATATATTCGCGTTTCTTTATTTGTGATGTTTATGAGGGTAATTTCTTTTTTATCCGACCAGCCGTATCGTCTGTCTCTCTGTGTTCCCTCAGCATCTCCATGGGTCTGCCCCTGAACCCTCCTGCAGATTCGGCCCGCTCCGCCCGCCACGCCCTCTCTCTCATCGCCACCGCCCGCCCACCAGCCTTCATCACCACCATCGCTCGAGAGGTGCGGCCAGGACCCCTCACTGAGCTCCTTCAGGAGGTTTCTCTCCATGCTCCTCATGGAGTTTGATCGTCTGTTTTCCTTCTAGGTCCATCGTCACAACGCCGCTCAGGCCAACTCCCAGTCCCAGCAAAACGTCCACACCACCACCTTGGCCCGGGCGAAGGCAGAGATACTGCGAGTCATCGACATCCTGATCGAGAAGATGCCGGGAGACGTCGTGGACCTGCTGGTGGAGGTGAGCCGTAGGGCAGCATGAATCCAGCTGCAGGCGTCAGCAGATGTTCTGATCTGTGGATCTTCCAGGTGATGGACATCATCATGTACTGCATTGAAGGCTCCTTGGTGAAGAAGAAAGGCCTGCAGGAGTGTTTCCCTGCTATCTGCAGGTATGTTTGGAACCCAGCCAGGCAGAGGAGCTGAACCTCCCAGGTCAAAGGTCAGCTCCCACTGGATGTGCTTGAGGGTTCGGTAGAAGCAGGCTCTGTTTCTGTGAGGTTCTGGTTCTGATCTGGTCATGGATGTTTGGGTCTGTCTGTCTGTCCAGGTTCTACATGGTGGGATACTGCGATCGGAGCTACCGGATCGCCGTCGGAGCGCGGCAGGGATCCGTGGCTCTCTACGACGTTCGCACTGGGAAATGTCAGGTAGGTCAGCAGGAACATGTGGGTCCACAGCTGGATGCGACCAGCCTGTCTGCTGCTGCCTCTCAGCCTCGGGCTGTTACACACATTGGGCCACGGTGGATGAAGGAGTTTGCCCTGCAACCACTGGGTTGCTGTTCATGCCCTTACTGGTTTCATGTCTGGAGGCCTGGCAGGAATGTCGTGGACGTTGGACGTGGTGGAGGGGCAGCTGGGGCGAACGTTGGCATGGCTCAATCGATGATCAAGGGGGAGGATTTCATGACAGGCGTACTTGGACTCATCATATGCAACTGCATGATGAATCCATGAATGAATGATGAATGAATCGATGCAGCATGAATGGAAATATGAATGCAATGAACTCATGATAGATATGATATGAATGCAATTCATTGAGAATGATGAATGCATGACATTGATGAATGATGCATGAATGCACATGAAGATTGCTGACTGTGAATGAGACATGAATGAACTGAATATGAATGAATGAATGATATACTACTATGATGATGAATGATGAATCTGAATGATGAATGATTGATGAATTGCTGAATGCATGCAGATCTGATATGCTAATGATACATACATCCATCATAATCATGCAATAATCATGAATGACTCCAATATACATCCATCATATCAATTATCTTCAATCATGATGACATCCGAAACATCATCCATCATCACATATATAATGCCAACCATAATCACATCAGCATCAATACATGCATATCACATATGCATCGCATCATTCCATCGCATGCACATGATCCAATATCCATATCCATTAATGACCATGATGAATCCAATGCATAATCAATCATCACATCATGCTCCATCATCATCCAGATACCATGCATATCATCATCAATCATGCATATCCATCATCATCACGCATGCAATCCATCATACTCGCACCATGATCACATACCTCATCCAACCATCAATATCATCTCATCCATATCATCTGACCATCATCCATAATCCATCCATCAACCTGCATACATGAATCTATAATGCATCATATCCATCATACATGCATCATATCATCCATCCACATCAATCATCATCAATGCACTCCATCATCCATCAATCCATCTCAATATATCATGCAATCTGATCCATCACATCACATCATGCATCAATCCATCTCATCACCATCATCCATCATCATCCACATCATACCATACCATCCATCATCACATCTCATCCACCATCCACTCCATAATCCATCCATCATCATCATCATCCATCCTCCATCATCCATCCATCCATCCATCCATCATCCATCCATCATCCATCATCATCATCCATCCATCCATCATCCATCATCCTCATCATCCATCCATCCATCATCCATCCATTCATCCATCCATCCATCCATCCATCATCCATATCCATCCATACATCCATCATCCATCCATCCATCCATCCATCCATCCATCATCCACATCATATCCATCCACATCCATCATCATCCATCCATCCATCATCCATCCATCCATCCATCATCACCCTTCATCTCATCCATCCATCCATCCATCCTATCATTCCACATCCATCCATCATCATCCATCCATCCATCCATCATCATCATCCATCATCATCATCCATCATCCATCATCCATCCATCCATCCATCATCCATCATCCATCCATCCATCCATCCATCATCATCCATACATCATCATCCATCATCATCCATCCATCCATCTCATCATCCATCCATCCATCTCATCCATACCAATCATCCATCATCCATCATCATCATCCATCCCTCCTCCATCCATCTATCATCACCATCCATCCATCATCATCATCCATCCATCATCATCCACTCATCCATCATCATCCATCATCCATCCATCATCCATCCAATCATCATCCATCATCATCCATCCCATATCCATCATATCATCATCATCCATCCATCCATCCATCATCAATCCATCATCACATCCATCATCCATCATCATCATCTCCATCCATCCATCCATCAAATCCCATCCATCATCATATCCATCCATATCATTCCATCAATCTCCATCATCCATCATCATCCATCCATCATTCTCCTTCCATGTCATCCATCTCATCTCATCCATCATCATTCCACCCCCATTGTCATCATGTCATTGATTTGCATCACCTCAGCGTCTATTCTGTTGGGTCATTCATTAAAACATCCACCCACCACCCCCTTTCCCATGTCTGTAAATCTAGCACACTTCTTGTCATCTTCCACATACCATCAAATTTCCATGCCAGGTACCATCATCAGTTTTATCCTCTCCATCCAATAAGCTTTCCATTCGATCAATTCAAAACTTCTTTTATCATCCATCAGTATATCCTCATCCTCCAAGCAGAGGCAATCTCCATCGCATTGCAATCCTGAACCTCATGATTTCTGGGTTAAATTGACATGTCATAGCATCGCCTCCATCATATTGATCTCCTTCCATTACAACCTCCTTCTCCTTATTACTACACACTTTGTCTTTTAATCTCTCCGTGGACATGCCCCCCCCAGTTGGTAATTTTACCTTATGATTTTTTAGTAACCTGGCGGTCTTCATGGTTTTTGGGTCATTTCTAGCTGAAAACATCCGGCCGATCCAGCCCGACCTTCCTTTGGTCTGTGTGTATAAAGTGGGGAAGCCATCGGAGGCATTCACTAATTATATTTGGATAATGGAACAGCGGGAATGTGTATACTAGTGTTTTTCGGAAGAAATGCTTTCTTCTAATTTCAGAGATTTAGGCCGTAGAGAATTTATTAATTTTTTTTTGTCCGTCAAAAGTGGAATTCAATCAAGTCTCAGTAACAAACGTTTGAAAAACGCTTAAGCTTCTGGTTAAAGGTTGGATGTTGAAGGAGGATCGCACCCCAGTGAACCAAGAACCACCTTTAACAAAACCTCGACTTTACGCTCCAGATTTCATTTACACACTTTGTCTTTATTAACTTCCGGTGGACGATGAAGCAGAGAGCAGTATTAATGTTTAACCATCTTGAAAAAAATATGTTTTTAAGGTTGCGCTATCATCCATGTTTACTTGCGTAAACACAGAGGCTTGTGATGTCATTGCGTCCACACACGGGACACTTATGTTGTATGAATGCAGCTCACACAGGAGATCACATACAATCACATATATTTGGAAATGTGAACGGCGACGCAAAGAAGAAGATTTAAAGAAAAAATCGTACGTGAACACAAGTTTTCTATGACGGAGTATTACGGCCAGGCTAGAGACTTTATTTAATTTTTTTTTGTTTCGAGAAAAAAGTTGTAACATTACGAGAATAAAGTCATCATTCAACAAACCGTTTCAGAAAGAAAGCTTTAAGCTCCGCCCAGCAGATGACGGCCAACCAGCTCCACCAATCAGCAACCAGAGTCCACTTTGACATCCTGCCCAGTTTGATGCTGCTGCTAAAAGATTTCCTGATTTGTCAAACCGATGCTAAAGTAGAACTTCACATGATGCTCCACGTTCCTCAGTTTAGGGAAGAAAGGGATTCTGGGAAGAGTTGTTATAAAATATAACTTTATTCTCGTAATTTTACGACTTTATTCTCGTAATTTTACGACTTTTTTACGACTTTATTCTCGTAATTTTATGACTTTATTCTCGTAATTTTACGACTTTAGTCTCGTAATTTTACGACTTTATTCTCGTAATTTTACGACTTTTTTACGACTTTATTCTCGTAATATTACGACTTTTTTACGACTTTATTCTCCTAATTTTACGATTTTATTCTCGTAATTTTACGACTTTTTTACGACTTTATTCTCGTAATTTTACGACTATATTCTCGTAATTTTACGACTTTATTCTGGTAATTTTATGACTGTTCTCTTTATTCTTGTCAATTTATGAATTTATTGTCATTATGTTACAACTTTATTCTTATAGTTTTATGGCTATTTTCGTTGAGACTTTATTCTCGTAATTTTATGACTTTATTCTCGTAATTTTACGACTTTATTCGCGTAATTTTACGACTTTTTTACGACTTTATTCTCGTAATTTTACGACTTTATTCTCGGAATTTTACGACTTTATTCTCGGAATTTTACGACTTTTTTACGACTTTATTCTCGTAATTTTACGACTTTTTTACGACTTTATTCTCGTAATTTTACGACTTTATTCTCGTAATTTTAAGACTTTATTCTTGTAATTTTACGACTTTTTTACGACTTTATTCTCGTAATTTTATGACTTTTTTACGACTTTATTCTCGTAATTTTATGACTGTTCTCTTTGCAACTTTATTCTTGTCAATTTATAAATTTATTGTCATTATGTTACAACTTTATTCTTATAGTTTTATGACTATTTTCGTTGAGACTTTATTCTCGTAATTTTATTAGTCATCATTTTGGTGGATACTTCGTCATGTTCCTCTGCTGTCAGCTTGTATGACTCCAGAACGCAATTGTGTCATTTCCTTTTGCCGAAAGAGCTCGCAGTTAGTTAGGTAGCGGCATTATTTGGCGATATTTAGCAGGAGTCAGGTTTAGGAAAACATGGCGATCAGGAGGATAAACAATCCTGACCTACAACCCCAACCAGAAAGATGCGGTTTGGAGATGGCGGCGTGGTCAGAAGGAGCGGAGGATAGAGTCTCACAGCAAACAAATATTTTACAAAACATAAATAACAATTATCTCTCTGGCTTCTATTTTATTTTAAATCACAGTGCCACAGAAAACTATTCATGCCCTTCCAACTCTTTTTCCCATTTTTTCACCTCAAATCCAAAACTTTTATTCAATTTTATTACTAGAACGAAAAAACAAAAAGGTTCATCGTTCTACTGTTCTAGAAAAAATAAAATTGGAATAAAATGCGTACATTTACATTCATCTCGTTCTTTCTTTGCTTTAATATTTTGGCGGGTAAAACATATGTTTGGTTGATTTATTTTTTTATCTACCTGTGCTGGTGAATCAGAAAGTTCATTTCAAACACTGCTTGTGT